CCACAACTCATGCCAAATTAAAAAAAAAGAAATCGGAAGTGAAACTGTTTTGTTTATAATGAACAAAAAGAAAATTGTTGTCGCTGCTTGAGTAATGTGCTTGAATGCAACTCTATTAATCACACAAAGATTAAGAAATAAAAGACGACGGCGTTTTGGCAGAAGACCAATCAATAAAATTAGAAAATTAGAGGGAAATTATGCCACTCTGATTAGAAACATGTTGGAGAAAGAGGAAGACGATTTGCAATTTTTTAAATATGTTCGCATGTCGTTCTAAGAGTTTAAGGAATTGTTAAGACTGGTTGAACCTTTTTTAGCAAAAACACCAAATAAAGGTGCAATTTCACCCGCTCAAAGGTTGATAGTAACCCTACAGTAAGATTTTGTTTAATTTTATATTATAAACAAATTTTAATTAAGTAATAAAATTATTGATACATTCTACAAAAAAAGCATATCCAACTGTATCGGGGCTGTTGATGGGAAACACATCCATATGCAAGCACCAATATAGCATCGGGAAGTGGGTTCTTCAATTATAAACATACCTTCAGCAATTTTAATGGCATGTGTAGATGCGAATTATGATTTCATTACAGCAGATATTGGAGCTAGTGGAAGAAATCATGACAGCACTATCTTTAAAGAATCTTCTTTCGGGAGAGCTTTTTTAAATGGACACATAGATATCCCGTTTCCAAAGAAATTGCCTGGAAACAACATTACACTTCCACATTTCGTTGTGAGTGATGCTGCGTTTTCTCTAATGGAAAATATAATGAGACCATATCCCGGACAGTACTTAGGGCTAGAAAAAAACATTTTCAACTATCGTTTATCCAGGGCTATCAGTTGAAAATGCCTTTGGTATACTCTGCCAGCGGTGGCGAATTCTACGGAGGCCATTTAAAAGACGTTTAAGAATTAGATTTAAAAGACGTTTAAGATACTTAATGAGGATGAAAAATTTAAGAAAAATTGATTTTGAGGTTTTTTGGAGATTTTTGAAAGACATCAAGTAATAAAAAAAGGTTATTGGTGTGTATCAAAATGGTTCAAATCGATTAAAAACATAGTTAGGTGATTAATAATGACAATAATAATTAATAGAATCAAACAGGACGTTTTCCAGAAAATTCAAAGATTTTTGAAAATTGAAAAAGTTGATTGGTGGGAATCAAAATTGTTCTGATCGATTTAAAAGATGTTTAGGATAGTTAATGAGGATGTAAGAATTGAAAAAAAAATTAATTTTAGAAAAGGACAGCTTGTTCATCAAATTTTCATATTTTCGTATTTTTCTTGTTATTGACGAATCTGAGAGCAAAAATAAAAGAGAGCAATGTTGTTAAGAATAAAATTTGCTACAACTTTTGATCTAAAAGTTTTTTGTAACATGCTTCGATTAACGAATGTTACCATTAGCTAATAGTAAAACAAGAAAATTTAGTAAATTTTCATATTTTCGTATTTTTCTCGCTATTGACGAATTTAAGAGCAAAAATGAAAAAGACCAATATTGTTAACAATAATATTTGCTACAACTTTTGCTCCAAAAGTTTTTTTATAATATGCTTCGATTCCCGAATGTTACCATTAGCTAATAGTAAAACAAGGAAATTTAGTAAATTTTCATATTTTTGTATTTTTCTCGATATTGACGCATCTGAGAGCAAAAATGCAAGAGAGCAATATTGTTAAGAATAAAATTTGCAACAACTTTTGATCTAAAAATTTTTCTATAACATGCTCCGATTCCGAAGTGTTACCACTACCTACTTAAAACAACGAAATTCATTAAATTTTCCATAACTTCCTTCGTATTGAACGGCAAAGCGAAAGGTACTGTCCTCCAGAATATGGTGATATTATTCAGTCAGAGTCAGGGGAAATTATGAATGGTCAGTGGCGAGCTGAACCAATGTCACTGCAAAATATAGGATGAGTTGGAAGCAACAATGCGGCAAGAAGGTTCCAGAAGAACAGAGACTTGTTGTGCGAATATTTTAACGGTACTGAAACTGTAACATGGCAATATGACCACGTATCGCGCGTTAGACCTTAAATTTTTTATATTAATAAAATATTCTCTATTAATTTTGAGTCAATTTGGTCCGCATTTGACTCCATTGCAATAATTGTCGAAACAATAACGCACAACAACCTTAATACAATAAAATACAAAACGCGCAAGCAAACGTAATGTGCGCATGCGTCACGTTACGACCGATTGTTTTAGCTTTAAGAAGTTAAAAGTTGGACAACTCTTGGGACTAGGACAAAAACCATTTTAGTCGTAAGGTGTTGTATGAACAGTACCACTATAACACAATACCTTAACTTTTCACTCTTACGACTATGCTAACAACTACGACTAAAACACGTTGCATGAACCCACCTTTAGATTATATTGTTATGTCTGTGGTAAACTTACTTCTAATAGTGAAAGAACCCCATTTTCCCCTTGAGTACCCAAGACTAATGGATCCTTCAAGTGTGTTGTTCGAAATGTTATAAATATTTGAGGGGTAGGGTTAGCAATGACTATAAAAAAATGCCTTTTGGCGTACACCCAATATTTATTCACACTCTTCATTCTCGCACCTAAATCGCGCAGTCATGCTTCTTCCTTCCCTCTACCCTCCATCAAATACCTCCATCCTCCTTCCCTCCTCCATCAAATACCCCGGTATTTCCTCCGTCATTAAGACCTTATACTTAATATTGCATCTCCCCTCTTCCACCGGTGCAGGACGTTTTTGTTTTTCTATATCACTATACCTACCCTCCAACTCATTCCAGTGTTGACTCTTCCCTCCTCCTTCTTTGTATTTCTTATTGTTCATACTCCTTCACCCCAGTCTTAAGTTGCCTTCAATACTTTCCCAAAATCTTAAAGATGCTTCTCTGCTCCAACCTACCCTTGTACTTTATTGCCCTTCTACCTGTTTTCACCTTCATCTTCATTATCGTATATCCCGGAGTCTCTCCAATCAACCCCAAGATCCACCTCCAGTATCTCTCCTACATCTCCTTCACCATCTTGTGTTCTTTCCAACCCCATATTTCCGCTCCATACGTTATCACACTCCTCACCAGTCCATCACACATTGTTTTAAGTCTGCACAAATCTTTTGCAAATAATCATTTCTCCAGCTCCATATTTGCCCCAATAGTCCTCTCTGCCTAGTATGAGTCTCCACGCCATTATCCACTCGAAAGATAAAACCCAGGTACGTAACTTCCCTTACCTACTCCACCTCTCCCCTCTTCCATTTCCATTTCTCCCTGTTCCGTCTCCTGTCCTTGTAGAATTTTGTAACATTCACCTCCAAATCCTTCCGCTCAAAGCACGTCTCCATCGATCTCATCATCCCTTTCAACTCCTTAGAATCTGTTGCCACTACCACCAGATCATATGCTTATGCCAACGAATGTATCTTTTCTGCCCCCACCACTTCTCCCCCATACTTTAACCTTACTTTCAGATTCCCTATATACGCCGCAAATAAACATAGGTTAATTACAGCTAAACAATCTTATTAGAGACTTAGATTCGACTAAAGTAAATTTGAAATATGTATTAGAATCGAGATTGAAACAATGAAATATTTTTCACGCATTTCCATGAAAAAATTAAATGAACACTATATACCTATCATGAACTGCAATGCAATATGCCCTTGAAGGTCCATTTTCTATACTCCCATTCAAACTTTTTGCGCGAAAATATGGGCTCAGGTGGCGATGAACATAGAGAACGCTTTCACCAGGAAACGTGGAGTTTGAGAAGGGATTTCAAGGCAGATGGAAATATATGAAGCCTGACGTGATGTGACGTAATCTTTAATAAGTCAGCTCCATACTGAACAATTTTACTTATTATACTAACATGTCAAAATGCTGGAATAACAACCAGAGGTTAAATTTATGAGTTGGAATTGTTTTACTCTAGAAATATAATATATGAAACTGTATGAATGCTTGACTAAAGCATTTTAAATTTATTGGACACTATTGACATTCAGGTATCGATATGACTTCACTTCAAAAATTTATTTTATTAAATAAATTATTATTTAATGAAAGTATTAATATTAAATAATAAATTAATATTAGCAGGTAACACCTAGAACCGCAATAATATATTTTTGGTCCTATGATTTTGATCCATTTTCATTGTTGTTTTAATATAATAATGCACAAAGCAGAAACAAAAGCATTCATTATTTTATGTATTTTGCAGTATTTTGGATTATCATGTTATGGCTAATGTAATTATTACCAACAATAAATAAAAATTTTTTTATCGGAATTTTGTGTAATATTTACGTCATTATTAGCAAATATGAATTGTTAAAGAAATAAGCCATTGTCTTACAATTAATTTGTGCTAAAAACATTAAATTCATGTACATTATATATTCGGTGACGAAAGAAAATGGGTATTGTTGGAAAATGTGTTAAATAAAGTACTCAAATTATGAACATAAAGAAACTTATTTTCTAAAGAATTATCAGGGTCTATATTTTAAAATTGAAGCTTACCTGAATTTAGATTCCTCCAATAATCCATAGAATGCCGCAATAATTGGATTTCCGGGGGACATATTAGGGTCATAAGACATTCCAAGCTCGGTAACAATTCCAAATGTCTACACAAACGTAGTAAATTCGAAGTTTTCTTTTCTGTTTCTATATTCAATTCGATTTTGCGCCACCGTCATTTTTTTAAGTTGCAAAGTTGATTCCGCCCTCGTCCTCGTGTCCCTTTAGAAACTTTAGACGTCCAAGGGTCTCCACTACACGTGAGTCTAACTTCCCTCTAAAGTCGCGACTTCACCCCGAGTTAACGCTAAACTAAACTAGGATAGTTTTGAAGCCTCGACGTGCCATAACAAGTATCTTCATAGAGTACGGTTTGATGTTCTTAAAGTATTTTAACCTTTCTAGGCACGTTTATCTATTTCTCTATATCCTCTTTTTTTTTGTTGCAGAAAAATTGCCCTACAATGTATAAAGATATGAATTATAAAGGTGAGTTATCAAAAACAAGTAAACAAAAATTAATTATTTTAATTAATTTATAGCACGATGGATGGATAGAAGAGATTCCCACAGTCACAATTTACATCACCACAATTTACATTGAGGGATACCATAACAAATTAAAAAAAAATAACAACGAGACCCAAGTGCATTTTTTTAAAAGTGTAAAAGTTTTTGATTAAGACTTGGAAAATGGACGCTATATTTGTGCTGTATACAATAATAAATTTTAAAAAGAAAATGTGAACGATTTATAATAATTGTTATAAAAAAATCGATTCCGTTCTTACTCTTGTGTATATAATGTGAATAATATACAAAAAATATATAAATATTAGTTTGAAAATAATATATAGGGGTAAAAAAAACGTTTAAACATGTAATATAACGACCGTGCCATACCTATGTAGTGATAAATGTTTGAAAACGAGCGCTTAAAAATTTTAAAAACAACCGAATCGATAAACTTAAAAAAAAACGTAGAGGCGAATGCTATTTATAAATGTGTCGTAGTCGGATACTGTAAGCTTTAAAAAATGAAACTGACCGAAAATTAATAATATACATGAAATGCAGGGTGTTATAAAGAATTAGAAATATCGATTAATTAAATTAAAGATTGCCTTGTAATAGTAAAACCTCGATATAACGGAAACTAGTATGTAAACAGCTACCCACACCGTTGCGTTCTTTATTAGTTAGTTTTACTTTCAGTTCAATAAAAATATACAGCCATCTAGCGCTGAATAACCGCTACAACTAGAACTAACACTAGCACTAGAACTAACACTAGCTCTAGAACTAGAAACATTCGGGTTTAGCCTTGCGTCTCTTAAGACGGCTAAACCCGAATGTTTCTAGGTCTAGGTCTAGTGTTAATTCTACTTTTAGTTCAACAAAAATGTACAACAATCTATCACTGAACAACAAGTAAAACTAAAACTAACACTAGACCTAGAACTACAAAGCGTCGGGTTTAGCCGTGCGTCTTCAGACTGTTTCAGGACTAGAATGTTTCTAGTCCTAGGTCTAGTGTTAGTTCTAGTTTTAATTCAATAAAACAATATACAACAACCTAGCGCTGAATAACAGCTAAAACTAAAGGTAACACTAGCACTATAACTAACACTAGCCCTAGAACTAGAAACATTCGGGTTTAGCTGTCTTAGGAGACGCAAGGCTAAACCCGAATGTTTCTAGTTCTAGGGCTAGTGTTAGTTATAGTGAGAGTGCAAAACTAGAACTAACACTATACCTAGAACTAGAATCATTCGGGTTTAAATTAGCTGTCTTTAGAAACGTGCGGCTAAACCCAAATGACACGTCTGAAGACGCAAGGCTAAACCTGATTGTTTCTAGTTCTAGGTCTAGTGTTAGTTCTAGTTTTAATTGTTATGAAGCGCTAGATCAAGAACTAGAAACAATCGGGTTTAGCCTTGCGTTTTTTAAGACGGCTAAACCCGAATGTTTCTAGTTCTAGGTCATGTGATAGTTCTACTTTTAGTTCAATAAAAATATACAACAATCTAGCACTGAATAATAATTAAAAGTAGATAATATTAATAGTATGACTTAAAAATATTTGTTCTATCGAGGTTTCCATATGAAATAATAAAGAGGTAATTAATCTGCTATTAAAAAAAGTTCGATTCTTTCTAACTCACCCTGTACATACGAAGAATTCGAAACGTCTTGGAATGTTTTAATAAGTCAATATTTAAACAAGAACGCAACAATAAATTTATATAAAATAATTCAAATAATGTTCAATTTACGTGCAATTTATGTTTTAATTAAGTTTCGATAACCTTTCAATTATTACTGTTGCATGTTAATTATTTACGTGATTATTATTTAAAACGGGTTAGTTTAAAATTACGTAACAGGAAACTACAATAACAAAAGGGGGACAAAACCCCGGTGAACTACAACAACTGGCTTTGAACACACATTTGCTATAAATACGGAGAGAATGTTCTGTCTAAAATTTTAATGGGTAAAGTTTCCGAACGCACACTACACAATACGTAGGATGTGTGTTTCGGTACAAAATTGTTAACAGATTAACTAATTGGATGTTAATAGAAATCGTTTTTTGGTTTAAATTTTGTTTTTCGATTTATTTATTTGTTTAATTAAAATTTATCATTTAATTTTGTTTTAAGCTCGTAGCACATCGATATGTATATTGCCAAATTGTAACATAGAATTATTATTATTATAATAAAATAAATGTTTATTACTACGAAAAGACTTTTTTTTTCTTTTGAAATAATAAATCTTTTCTTTTTCTCCCAACCCTTGAAAGACGAATTTTATTGCAAAGATCTTACCCTGTCTTGAACTGACTTAATAACGCCCAGGCGGGGATCTTTTAAAGATTAGGAGACGCTTCTCGAAGAAAACGCGGTGACGGCGTTAGTTACAAATCGCCCTCTTCTCAGCGTGGAGAACAAAAGGAAAGGGAAGTAGAAAGAGTAGAACGTTAGACGGAAGAGGGAAAAATTAATTCAGCTCGGTAACGTTTTATTTGAGCAAACTACCGAGCTATTTGTAACACTCTGTTTTGACCAAACCACAATTTCTCTAAAAAGTTTCTGAATGTACTGTATAATTCTAACATCACAAAGCATTTAAAATTTAACTAAATTATTATTTATGTTTTCAACTATTCAATAGTAGACACGTAGATAACTCTCCATCAATATTAATTATCTTTTTTTAGGCGAATCAATAATGGATATAAATAAGTTTTGCCACAGCTTTTTGATTTAATGCAACCCATTCTCGAACTTAGATCATAGTACGGCGAGAGTGCTACGCTTGAATAGAGAAGCTTCAATAATATTTAACAGAGTGTTACTGTTAAGTTTCGAGACGCTAATAGAACTTTAAGCTAAGTGGCTAAAGCTAACTTCTATATTATTGAATTACTGTTTTCATCTTCAATTAATAAGGAAAAAGTTAAAATCTATTGGCACCCCTTAAAATAATATTTATCATTTAAAAATGATACATTAATATAAAGAAAAATAATAAAGATTTCGAGGCGTTTCTGAAATCACAAAATCACATTGTATAAAATCGTGAGCAACTTTCTAGGTTCCGGTAGTCGAGGGGAGTTCTAAATGTTGAATAAGAAACACCAGAAGGTATATCGAAAAAATTAATTATCATATCCGATATTTTATTTTGACTTCTAGATTAGAACTTAGGATAGGCTTCAAGGTGGAAATTTTAAAATCATTTGTTCATTTGCTGTCTTGGAAAGCAAACCAAATATACAATACTGGTACAACACTGAGAAATATTGCTGGAAGGAAGAAAAAGCAAATAAAAAGTAAGTTAGACAAGAGAAACAAGACTGAAACTGCAAAGAAAAAGAAAAATTTAAGAAAACAAATAAAGAAACCAGAAATAAAGAACAAGACAAGAATGTTAAGAAAGCAAAACCTAAAAGAAAATACATTATTTTAGTGAAGAAGACGATCACGACGGCGTTATTAAGTCTGATTTTTGTGGTAAAGATCTTCTTTTTCCTCTCTTGGTCCTTTTGCCTGACGGCGTCGGATAAATCCTTTTCCTATTCCTCCATCCACCTCTTCTACTCCCTCCGGTTCCTGGCTAATTCCCTTATATCTGCTAGAATCTTCCCTCGCTTCTTCCCAACTTATGCTGTTCTTTTCTCCCACTTCTTCCTAGGTCTTCCCATCTTTCTCTTATCCTTAGTCTTTGCTTCAAATGCCTTTTTTACTATTGTGTTCCATTCTAATTATGCAAATACCTTTTTTGCTATTGTGTTCCATTCTAATTATGTGGGCGTACCAGTTTAGTTGCTTTCTCTCTATTTTGCTGATTATCTCCTCATTATCCACTCCCAGTCTTATTTCTTATTCTATCCCGCTTCGTCTTCCCCGCTATTTTCTATAGAAACTTCATTTCCATTGCCGTGATCTTTCCTTCCTGTTTATCTTGGAGTATCCATAACTCACTGGCATATGTTAATATCGGGATTGTCACCGAGTTGTACACTTTCAATTTTATCTTTTTATCTACATTCCTCTTCCCAAAAATGATTCTGTTTAGAGTATGATATACGTTGTTTGTTTCCCTTATTCTTGCATTTATATCTAAATCTATCTTTCCATCTTGTGATATACATATTTCAACCAACTTCTTTGCCTTTTTATGGTTCTCTGCTATCAGCACTAATCGTCAGCATAGAGTATATTAGCTATTTTTACTGGCTCCAAATTTTTATAACCTATTACTGTTTGATATTTATTTGTTCTGTTTTTGTATTTTTTATTACTCTGTCCATTAATATTATAAATAATAAGGGACTTAGGCTATCGACTTAGGGTTCCATATAATACTACGGTTAATCGTGTCAAAAGCTGCTTTTAGGTCCAAGAATATTAGGTATAGTTCCTTGCCCGTATCTATTTTGAATCACCCTGTAGAATTATTTTCGATCAACATATCTGTTAGTCTTTCTCCCATTTCTGAACACTTATTAATTGTTTTGAGAAGTAAAGAGTATTTTTTTTATTCTCATTACGTAGGTCTCATGTAGTAGGAAATTTCCCAGAGAACGAAAATACGCCTACTCTTGACTATAAGACGGTGTATCAAATGACAAAATCGATCCGGTAGTTTCAGAGATCATTAAAACCACGAAAAAGTACATCGGCCAAATTTCAAAAGCTCATCACTTGATTGCTTTCTTCAAATTTTGATCGGACGTATACGTCGTGATCTGTTAACTATTCCGTCACATTTCAATAAATTTAACTGCATAATTTAACAGAGGCGATTGAAATAACGAGTCAGAAACGCCGTCTTTTTCAAAAATCTTTTTCTGCAGATTCCATTATTTAACAACACCAAAATGCCGTGCCATCTAGTGGCAGCACTATTAACACAGCTATCTTATAAAAGGTGGTGTTATTTACATCTGGTTGAAAACTACGTAAAAGGCAGTATATCGAAGTTGAAGACACTATTTAAAACTCGGCTTCACATTTTGAGAAGTCCGACGACATAACGCCGGAATGTAATAGAGTTATGATTTTATCATTACTCTTTTTCCTAATGTTATGCTCCGATATACCCAACCCATAATACGACGTTTAGTTATGTCGTGAAGAGGTTTTTACCAGTGGTTTTTGTTCCTCTTACCTGTGGATTTTGCCCTTGTGGCAAAAAAAAACCGGTTTTAATGTTAATTCAAGCTTAATTAATTTCATATCTTTTGGTAGTCATATGTAGCAAAGAGATGAATGATGCAAGTTGTTACTTTTTTTATCTATAAAGCTCCTATCACAATCTTGGAATTCATAATCAAAATATCTTTAATTTTTGAAATAATACAGTGTGTGATCATTGAAAATCAATCATTTTCCAAATGTAGAAAGTACTAAATTTTAATTAGCTTTGTTTTGGTTGAGTTGTGTTTGTAGAGCCAATATCTGTCGGCAAAATTCAATATTTCGTTTGAAATTCTTGTTACGACACAGATCTGCATATTTTGTTCTTCCTATAAAAATTAGATAAAAATGAGGCTATTTTCAAAACACAACAAATCCTAAAATTCCATTTTTGAAATAAATTTTTAAATTCACTCATCTTTTTACAAAACACAATATTCCAGAAAATAATATTTTCAAAACGAAACAAATTCAGGTTTTGTTTCAAAAATACGAAACTCCCTTGCAGGAAAGAACGGAAGAAAGAAATAAACGGTAAGCGAGGTTGAGGTAATATTAATGCATTTATGACAAAAAACCTACGAGCGTCAAAATAAATTAAATACATTGATGGATGCCTAGAATCAGCATCCCACTAACCCTTTTCCTTCGATTTTTCCGTCAATGATATTCCGATGTACTCCGTTGTCCGATGTACTGAAGCTTCCGTTCTTTAACGGTTATCAGGAGCTTATTGCCTTTGACCATCTCTTTGAATACCTCGTCATTTGTTATTCGGTCTATGCCTGATCCCTGATCTCAAGAGCGTTGATGTAACTCTGTAGCGATTGATTGAGTGTCCCACTCTCCGTAGAAAAGAATGGGAGATACATAATAATGCAACAGACAAACACGGAGCTGTAGGCTCAAGTTACGATTTGTGAAGAGAGTCTTCATAGAGATAAACGTCCTGCTGGCCTGGTCGATTCGTGACAGGATTTCTTATTTAGAATTTATATCATTCACAGAGCTCCAAGATGTTTCACCGGCGATACTTGTTCTAGTCTTAGTCTTAATATTCGCATGTAAGCCGTATTGTGCACTGTGCGTGGCAATGAGGTTTACCCTGTTTTGGAGATGTGACATACTGGCGGCCAACTCGACAGTGTCATCGGCAAAACGTATGTTGCTTATGGAGGTTTCATTGCTCTTAATTCCTTGCTCAGCATTCACAAGTGCTTCCTGGAATATCGCTTCCTAGTAGGTATTGAAATAGCACTTTAGCTGTGGCGGTTAATGAAAAATAACATCCTCAGAGTGATACACTGCCTTTGTTTTCTTCTCAGGATGGGCCAGCTGAAGGTAAAAACGTAGTTAAGAGTACCGACGAAACTAATTTTCCCGGCTTAATCAGAAAATATTATTACCAATAGAATAATTTTATTACCACTTGTCGAGATCAATATCGAAGAACTCAAATTTATGCCATACAATATAACATAAACCAGCCTCAAGTTATTTTACGAACCCAAGACTATAATTAAATGAAGGAATTCGTAGATGCCAATATAGAAAAAAAAACCAAAAATTAATTAACGAATGCTTGAAGGAGCAAATTTAATTGTTGGCACTAACTGAACTAATCTCAAGAATTTAAATACGTAAACCACTCGAATTATATTAATTAAATTATAAAGCTCCCAATGTAACACGAGTACTGCACCCTTAAAAAGTCTACGGAAGACGATGTAAAATGATGCAAATTAGGAATTAAATAATAAACTCAATTACGTCAAGTCGCCAACAGTTAAATCATATGGAGGCGAAAACAGAAATAAAGATGCAATAAAACAAAGCAAATACTATTCAAAATGCTCGTATTATATGCAGAAATGGCTATGAATGTCTTTATTACTTAAATTGTCTTAGTTATTAGTTAAAATTATTACTTATTTTGTCATCTACGTTCAACGATTCCTGAAAAAAATAAAAATATATAGGCAATATGTTATTACATGACAGCAACACTTTTTATGTAGTTATAATTGATTTTAAAATAACGCCACATTAATTTCATTCAAATAGAAAGTTGTGACCACAATCCAAATCTTTTTAAATACAAATATTCTAAATTAGTATCCATTATTTCAGCTAAAAGAAATTCAATTAGTTAACTTTTTACTTTTAACTTAACCGTTTCAAAACTAGTTACGATCTATTCAAATTCGTAAATGGTGTAGAAATACCATAGTTATACAGAAGCCCCCTAATATGCAGTAAATTGTGTGGCCGACTTTGAATTCAGGTAATTTCCTATTCGGGAATAGGTCCGCAGGAGAGCCACCCTCTAATACTAAACCACGAACGCATCTGATTACGTCTTTTGCATCCTTCCTGGTTGCGATAAACGGTCCACCACCAACCATCCGTTTTAACAAAGACATTTTTCGCATTTAAAATTTTGTGTTACTATTTCATTTTCAATTACTCATACACAGATCATTTCACCACGAAAAGTGGGTACATCACGGGTCAATATTTACAATCCCCTTTTGAATAGAAATTGTTTGTTTAAACGTAATAAATGGGAATATTTGCTTTTAGATATGGTGATTGAATTGTGGAAAAAAGGAAGGATTAAAATAGTTGAATTTTAATTTTAATCCAGGAACAAAAATTTTATTCTTGTAAAAATATGTTTTAAAGGATTCATTAGAATGAGAGGTTGGATTTTCTTTCAAACATCTCAACATCTTTTATAATTTTTTTTTATTATTAATAAAAATATTATGTACAATTTATAAAAACAAATCTTAAAATAAATTAATCAAAAAAAATCCTACCTTAATTCTTACTAATTAGTAACCGAATTCGGTCCAAGCGTTTTCATCAATTTATAACAATCCTGCAACTTCTTTTTATCACCAATTCTCTCCAACGTTTTTGCAGCTTCTGCTAACATCCCTGCTTTTTCACCAGGCGATGACAATAACTGCCCTGGTAAATGCCTACATGCCAAATATAAAGCTGTGGCATGTTGCCTTTCTCCACCTAAATCTTGATGGTTTTTATCTTTCCCACAAATAATTGAAGGTTTTGCATGTCGATGTCTTAAACTTTTATCTAGAAGTTGTTGGGTTCTTCCTGGTGCTGCTCCCGCCATTAATCTTGAGGTTGCTTCATACAGAAACACTCTTGAAATTGCAGACTAAAAACAAAACAATATGTAATTATTTAATTAATAACAATTTTGGTGTAAAAGGCTTTGGAGTAGCCTTCGTCCAATTAATATAGTATCAATGGCTAGGGCGTTCCCCCAAAGCGATGGCTAAAATGACAAGAATCAGTTTGCGATTTATACATCAAGTTAAGAAAGAACTTACTGAATACAATCAAGAACTTGCAGAAATACTGAAAAGGACAAGCAAACCTATGCTGCACTAAGAAGACGCGGTGGAAGAGTACAAGGGTATCAACTGGTCTACTAAAGAACGAATAACAAGCAGAATAGCGTTGGAGTCATACCTACACTGGATAAGCCTCAGACGAAGTGTACAAAACCGGAAAAGGAGTCATTCTGGAAAGGCCAAGATGAGCTCATGACCTAAACAGACTTGAATAAGTCTGTTTAAAAGAACGGCTATTTTGGAAAAAATAGCACCACCTATGTATGCGTCCATGGAGGGTATAGGTACGGCATCGAAAAAAGAAGGGAAAAAGTATCCTGGAATTCTGCTCACGTCATGATTTGAGTGTGATAAACCACAACTTTCAAAAACCTGGTCTCCTACCAAATTGTATGAAGGTCACTATAAATTGACTTCATCTGGCTAATAAAAACTCAAAAGGGGACTGCAATAAGGATTGCAAAATTATACCAGGTGAAGCACTGACTACTCAACATAGAATACTGATGGGTGTATGCACTTTACCGAAACCTATTATGAAGACTATGGATCGGATAATTCGAATTAAATGGAAAAATGTCTCTGGGCCAAAAGATGACACACTTCTCGAAGAGCTAAGGGAATACCTGAAAAGGATATAAAAATTTCTTATGCCACGGCTGACGAGATGTGCATGGGTTTCGAGAAGGAGTGCAAGAACAAAGCCATTGACAAATTGGGACTATCTAATGAAGGCCATACTCCTTAGGGTTTGCCTGTCGGTTATGCATGTAAGGCTAAAACCATCATGAAAAGCCTAAGATGTATGGCCTCCATAAAGCGCGTGTCAACATAGGCAAAGATCCGACCTGGTTCAAAACTTGGCAGACAGCGAAATAAAAAACTGATCGCATCAACTACAAAAAGTCCAAAATCGCAGCAAAAAAGGCTGTAGTTCAGGCCAGAACCAAGTGTAGAGAAGCTTCCTATAATCAAATCGCGAATCTGAATTTGCCAAAAATAGACATATTGCAACTCAGGATATAAAGAGAAATCAACGATGACATAAACAGCCGGTTGTATGAATATTAGCAGCTAATGCACGATGAATAGCCAAGCTTTGAGTTAGACTCTCTACCACCAGTTGAAAAACCAGTCAAGGAGATCAGACTAGACGAAGTGGAGGTGGCTGTGGCTAAGATGATAAACCATAAAGGGCCCCGATAAGATAAAATTAACATCTCACACCTTCAAAATATAAGTACGCATAATCAACAGACTTATCCAACTTCTGACATCAATTACCCGGAACCAGTTTGAATTCACACCCTCTACTAAATCAACAACCAATGCAATAGGCAGTTAGCGTAATAACGGAAAAGCACCGTCTGAACAAAGAAGTTCTGTATTTAATATTCATAGACTTGAGCAGGCATTTAATCGGGTGCCGCGGAAAATAGTTTGGCGATCTCTTAGAGGAGAACACAATGTTAATACCATAGTTGGGTCCCAGTCAAGAATTCGAAGTGGAAGTAAGTGTTCATCAGAGCTCCGCTTTAGCCCCTTAGGGTGAACAGATCACAGAGGAAACACATGGAATGCGGTTTCGGTCAAGGCTCAGCCTACTACCTTGTTGTGTACCAGCAACCTGAGAGAACTCGCTAGAGGGAATGATGTTACTCTATGGTGGGTTCCAGATCACAGAGACATTGAGGGCAATGAGAATGGCAGACACGCTGGTCAAAGAGGCAGCGAAAACGCCCTTCATTGGACCCCAACCTGGTTGTGGACTACAAAAAAGCCACCAAAAACAAGTAGTCAACAGTTGGAAGGTTTCAAAGATAGCCTTACGCTGGAAAGAACTTCCAGGTCATAGACAAACGATAACTCCGTCGCAAAACAAAACCAAAGAGATTTTATGCGACAGCAAAGGGGATCTAAGGACGCTCTCAGGTTTCCTGACCGGCAATGCGCCCCTAAAATACCATCTCTTCCACATTGGACAAGCTGGGCATCAAACTTGTCGACGTTGCAACGAGGAGCCCGAAACGGCTGAACATATACTGTGTAATTGCATTGCCAAAGGCCGCCGAAGACACAACATTTTCGGTAAAGCTCTTTTGACACCTACCAACATAAAGGAACAAGACCTTGGAGCAATACTAAGGTTCATTAAGGACCTACATTTGCCCTAAACTATTGGAGGGCTAAAGTTACAATAGATCTTATAGGTCGCGGTAACGAGAGAGGCCGCTCCCCTCAGCCCAGCAGCAATAATAATAATAAGCTGCATGACTTAAGTATCTGGGATCTGTGATCTCTAATAACAATAAAATATGGAACCCGATGTAAAGTCGACGTGGCCTGGCAAAAATGGTAATTATAAACTGCATCCTGGACGGGAAAGAAAAAACCCTTATGCAAAACTTCATTCAACCGAAATTAAAATGTTGCGATGGTCGGGAAGACCTCGCGACGTAGTAACAAGCTGATTTGTTCGTAGCAACTTCAAGGTGGTCCCTCTGCCTGAGATACTTATAGAGAGTTGCCCGAGATGGCGTGGCCATGTTATGTCCAGAGACGAAAATCATGTTGTAAGAAAAGCACTAAACCTTCTAGAGTACAAAAGAGGAAAAGAGCGACCCTCTTCTACCTGTTGGACCCGCAGGTCCAAGACTCTAAATGAAAATAATTTATCTGAACTGACAACCCAGGACATAATGTGGCGTAGAAATATTAAGAGAGCCGACCCCACATAAAATGGGAATGAGCAAGAGGAAGATTTGATTATTAAAAAATTAAATATGTTCAATTAACCCTAAAAACCTACTTACCGGTATATGTTGAGTTAAATTTTTTAAACTTGTAACATCTCTTTGGAAAGATAATAAAATTGAGTTTGAAACTGAAACATTTTGTTTATCAACTTCTTTCATGTCTTCCCAAAACGACGTCCGAGTTTCTAAAATCCAGTCACAAACCAAAAGTTGGGCGTACTAAAAAAAAAAATAATCAACTATATTTAACCCCAACTCAAACTTTTTTGTTAAATTAATAAATATTGAAATAATTTTGTTGGTTTTCTTTTACAATCAAATTGCACTGAAGAGACATTGCACTTTTTAACATAAACATGCAATGCAACTACAATGCACATAGATCATAAAAAGTATTAAGTTATAATTTTACCAAAAAATAATTAATTAAACTTACTAAAGCTTTACTAGTTTGTGGTTTACAATTTCCATAAGTGATACTTTCTTCAATTAATTGCGAAGCAATCGCGCATTGTTGAAGTACAGAATTTCTGCTTTGTGGGTCTTTATTAAAAAGCATCTTTTGGGACCGAAAAGCTTCTAATATTGCTCTTGGGAGAGGATCGTTCAAATTTAATAAAGACTCAGGAATATTTTCCACTTTAGAATATAATCTTTCGGCGTTTGAATATTCGGCTAATAACCAATATGAACCCACAGCGACTACATTTGTCCACCAATGAGCTATTTCATCATCATATTCTAAAAAAATGCAATAATTTTAATTTTAAATTAAGATAATTAATAAAAATACTTACTGTGTAAAACATCCGATCCAAAAACACTTGAAACATCTTTTGCAACATTATCAAACAATAATTGAATATAATTTAAAACGTCAGAAGTATGAGTTTTTTTCATTGAATCATCTTCTTTAATTTTACTTCCTGGTGCAACCAAAGTTTGCAAAGCTTTCCCTATTAAATACTCCCTATAATCCTTCATCACATAAGCCATTGGATCAGCTCGATTTCCCAATGTTCCAAAACACAATCCTTCCTCAGGTTTAAGATCAAATTTGAATTTCCATCCAATAAAATATTTATACCCAAACGGTGTAAAAAGCCATTGTAACCTCGAAGGGATTGCATCACAAGAATTAACACACGCATGTTTTGCCAAACCCATATAATATCGTTGTAAAAGGCTTTGTAAAAATTGATAACAACTCGATTTGATTCTCAAGGTCATTGCAACGTAGATATCGACGATTTGCGAATGGGTTATTTTGTTTCCAGCGGCCTCTGCTAAATTTGTAGCGTTTAAAGCCAGTATTAACCCCAAAGAATGACCACCTTCTTGATCTTTATTTTCAATCAAATAAAGCTGATTTAAACCATGATAAACCAAAGCTAATTCTCTGCAAGATGTTAACGCTTCAAAACGAACGATTCCATCGGAAAAGAAGCCACCTGAATGCCTTGATAACCATTTTCCAATCCAAATTCGATGAAAACATTGACGAATTAATTGCCAACAAAGCGAGGTTAATCGTTCAAATCGAGTACTTGGTAGTTGTGTTCCAAAAGTTTGTAAGCAACGTTTCAATTCTAATTTAGCCCCGGAAATATCACCGTTTGATAGATAAATATCCGCTTGGCGGCGATGTCTCCAGAAATTTTGGGAATCTTTCGACTTACTTGGAAGAATTGGGTCTCCATAAACGAACATTTTTATCAAACATAGTCCCAAAATTAAGAAATTAACTCCCCATAAAATGAAACTTGGGTAACTCCATGAAGAACCATCATCTTCTATTGAAATTAATAAAAAAATAATTAAATTAACAAATAATTAACATTTTATACTTACTAAACAATAGTTTTCTTTTTCCATCAAATCCAAGTTCCTCGAATTGCCCCAATTTATTAAAAGCAACGCCGAATGGATTAAACGCAACAACAACGAACATAAACATACATAAAATAAATTTTGAATGATCCAACATCCCACCTTTTGGGGACATGTCTTCGTCGCGTTCTTCTTTTACTTGAGATTGATATTCGGGGCTTGATGGGATTGAATGGACGGGAGATAAATTTGAAACATCTGAAGGGGGTGGGGTGCAATCCGGGAAATAATCCGGCGGGATTTCTTCGATTTTCGTTGGCGAAAGGAGATCTTTTAGCGTGTTTTTACGTGCTGCCATTTTCAAAGCCATGTTTTCTTGTTTTAATTTAGCGTTGGAGTTTTGGAGGAAACGGATGTATTCGATTGTTTTACGTAAAATTGCTGATTTATTAAGCTGAAAATAAAATTAATTTTTTAATGGCAAAATACGTTTTCGTACGACAGCTTACTTAAGGAATGAGGTGGATAAACGCCTAAATATTTGTGGTACAAAAGAAGATATTAAAATAAAACTGAATAAAAATGTATTAATTGTAATTAAAAATTAATACTTAGCCTTTGAAAATGTGAGTTTGAAATTGAGTGAGAGTACAATTTGGATGTAGTACAGATCCTAACGTGTGACAAAACTATTACTATTTTATAAACATAATTCAATGCCGATTGAAGTACTCTATCTTAGATTAGGATTGTCTTAAATCAACGAAATTCTAACAAACGTTTGGGCGTTAAGATAATAACACCATCATTGCTGCATCTGTGATGATTTACTATAAAGTGAGTGAAAACTTTGTTAGTTGGTGCCAAATTCCATTTTATACAATATACATATAACATGGTAAGCGTCTACAGGGTCTACAGTAAAACAGAATTTCTCTGTATCTTACCAGAAAACGACAATTAGACAAAACAGTACACTAAATCGGATAACGTATATCACAAAAACAATGCAGCAATGACCATGGAATGTTAGACGTTTATATGAAGCAATGTGCCTCAAGAAATGCAACAAGTTAATGTTACTATAATGGGTATGATCAAAACCAGATGGCCCGACTCGGGAGAAATGTAAATGGACAAAACAAAGATACACGGAAATATGTTAAATTTAGATATTTCAGTGTATTTAGATTCTAAATCATACCGTAATCATCATTGTACCTGCACCTGCCTTAATGTGGTTCAGGTCTAAGAAGAAATAAGGAAATCTTATAGGTGACTTTAATATAAAGATAGGAAGGGGGAAAGAGGAAGTCATTATTGAAGATTTTCGATCGGGGTCAAGGGATGAGAGTGGAGATAGACTGACTCAGTTTTGCCAAGAACAAGATATGGCAATAACAACAAGCTACACGAAAGACGAGTGTATACATGGAAATCTATAGCAGATAGAAATAACAACATTAGAAGAAATCAAATGGATTATGTTTTAATAAACAAACAATACCAAACGTTTATTTTTTTTTAATTAAGTAATGTTAATTTAGACCCGAACAGGGATACAGACGGAAAATGTGAGGCAACCAAAATTGCAATAATAGTTCCAACAAGAAAACTCTAATTGCAGTTTGAGAAGAAAGCAGCACGTTACAACAGAATGCTCTTTTACTATATGATGGCTATTGCAGTGATTTTAGTCTTAGAATGATTAAGACAACCAATAACATAGATATTACACTAATCAATTTTGCCACCTCACAGATAAGTTAAAGTTCTGAAACAATTGCGAACTAAGAAATTCATAGAATAAATGACTTAATGGTATTATACCAGAAACTTAAAAAAACATGTATTGTACAGGTGTCCAAATTTCGATGGGTTTGCAGGGTATCTCAGTTATTATGGTGCACGTCGAATTTTTCTAGTCATCACGGTTTTTCAGTTATAAACACAACTCAAATACTGAATGCTCAACTTCTAAAATACTTAACTCTTTATGAGTTATAAACACAACTCAAATACTGAATACTCAACTTCTAAAATACTTAACTCTTTATAACTCAAAAACCGTGACGACTAGAAAAATTATACGTGCACCATTGGATTCCACGTGAAAAAACCTATTAGAGCCCGTTTTTACTTTTTTACTAGGTTTCCGAATAGCCGAGATACAGGAGGTGTCTGAAAATCGTAAATTTCAAACACTCCCTGTATATCAAAAACGAAAAGAGCTATGAATATTTGGTTTGCGCCATTGTAAGTTTCACAAAAAAGTAGCTCAGGTTCGCGAAAGCCGCAACTGTTTATCTTTCATAATAACTGAGAAACCCTGCAAACCCATCGAAATTTGGACACACTGTACAGGACGGTGGGCAAATTTGGGTGTTATTATAGGCTATCTCAGAAACTATAACAGATACGAAAAAAGTAGGTGCCATGTCCCGGTCTCTTTTCCAGAGACTAATCCAATCCCGCAAACACCAAACCTCTATCTTCTTTTGTTTTTAAGTTTTTATAACCAAAAAGTCAAATTTTAGCGATTTCAATAAATGCTCATATTTCGTTTATTTTTGAAATTAGAGATATGGGGTTAATACATTCTTAAGACACGTTTTTGAGTAGAATATATTGCCGGTGAAAATTTTTAAATATACGTAGCTGATAATTTTTGAGATATAACATAAAGTTGTATTTTTTTAAATACAAACTATAGTTGATTATAATGTTACTGAAAAGAGCATGTTTTCAGATTTCCAATGATGCATCGCACGCATGGTGTATTTGCGGAAAATAAGCGTTATTTTTCAATTCTAAAATATTAAAGATTAAAGTTCAAATTTTTAATTATAGTAGGCAAAGAAAACGCTAAATTTCACTTACAAGGAAAGTATCAGAACTGGCCCGTCACTGATTTTGTTGAAATTTGGTACAGTGATGGTATGGCCAAAAATAAGGTTTACGTATTTTTTTATACGTGCTAATAAAGCCCCTGGGACGAGTTATAAGGGTTGGAAATCGGGGCGAAATATATACAGGGTGTCACACACACAAAAAACGCCCCAAGCTGTAACTCTGTCATTTACATTCAATTTTCATGAGCGGAGTATCAAATGAAATAGTTTCATGAATACTATGATTCATGCTACAAATAAATTTTTTCCAAGGCCATCTTCAATTTTAAGCGATTATTAACTTTTGCTTTTCAAATTGCTCTATATATTTTTCTTTACGTCATTGGATAGAGATTGTTTTTCTGAATCCACTGATGTACAATACATCCATTTTGAATATAATTTTAGCAGAGAAAAGACACCTGTATATACAGATTTCCACACAAGAACGCCGCAAGCTGTAACTCTGTCATTTACCTTCCGATTTTCATGACCCAGCTATCAAATGAAATGGTTTGATGAATACTATGATTCATGCTACAAATAAACTTTTTCCAACGCCATCTTCAATTTCAACCGATTAACAACTTTTGATTTTCAAATTGCTCGGTATGTTTTTCTTCACGTTATTGGATAGAGATTTTTTTTCTGAACCCATTGATGTACAGGGTGGGCAAATTTGGGTGTTATTATAGGCTATCTCAGAAACTATAAGAGATACGAAAAAAGTAGGTGCCATGTCCCGGTCTCTTTTTTCGAGACTAAGCCACTCCCGCAAACACCAAACCACTATATTCTTTTGTTTTTAAGTTATAGCCAAAAAGTCAAATTTTAGTGATTTCAAAAAATGCTCATATTTCGTTTATTTTTAAAATTAGAGAAATGAGGTTGATACGTTCTTAAGGCACTTTTTTAAGCAGAATATACTGCCGTTGAAAAATTTTAAAAATATTTAATGATTTTTGAGATACAATACAAAGTTGTATTTTTTTAAATACAAACTATACTTGATTATGATGTTAATGAAAAGAGCATATTTTTAGCTTTCCAATGATGTATCGCATGTATGGTGTATTTGCGGAAAATAAGCGTTAATTTTCAATTCCAAAATAGTAAGCGCTAAAGTTCAAAATTTTGATTATAGTAGGCGGGTTCGGA